GGCGGCCTCCGCATCCTCCGGGGCGCCTGGGAGGGATGGCTGCAGTCGGGGTGCATAGCACCAGGCAGGGCTGGCTGCAGTTGGGGTGCATAGCCGGGCAGGGCTGGCTGCAGTCGGGGTGCGTAGCCATGCAGGGCTGGCCGCAGTCGTGGCGCATGGGCACTGGGCAGGGCTGGCCGCAGTCGGGGTGCATAGCCAGGCAGGTCTGCCCTTTCCCCCCAGAGCCCCACGTGCTGGTACGCCTGGATATCTGGGAGAAGGGCAACATCAGCCTGCTGCAGCTGTCGGAGAAGCTGCGCGGGGCCCTGCGCCACGCTCTCTGCGACGCCGTCATGGAGTTCCTGGTGCTGTCCGCCCCGCTCTGCGTGGAAACCGCCTGCCCCCTGGGTAGCTTGGACCTGGAGGAGCTGAGCTCTGCAGGTGAGAGCCTGGCCAGTGTGGCCACTCTGAACCCCCAGCCAGCCTTTGTCCTCCTGCCTGGCCTTTCCTAGCTTGGCTGAGCTGGGAAGACTCAGGCTGGGAGGAGGCTCCTCTTCCCTCTGCTAACTGTGTTGTGTGATGTCCTGGGGAAGAAGCACCATAGAAATTAGGGCTGGAAGAGATTTAAACATCTTTCTGTTCCCTAAGACTTAATCCACTTTGCTGGATGTTACTGAGGGCTGTCTCCCTTCTGGCCAGCCACAGTGGGGTACATGGGGACAACAGCAGTGCTCCAACCAGGGAGTCTGGAGAGTCTGATTTGCTCTGTCTCCACAGGAGGCCTAAGGAGAACCATGTCAGAGACCAAGGGCCTGGCCCTGGCCACTGGTGGGACTGGCAGGAACTGTCCTCCACCCTTGCACTTCACTTCTGCCCCTTCACCCGGCCCTGGGGAGCCAGTGACACCCACGAACAAGCTGGGACGCCGCAGCTTCTGGGACATGCTGGTACTGTTGCTGAGGGACCAGTGGAGAGCAGGCCTCTAAGTCCTCATGTTGTGTCAGGCCAGGAGGAACGGAGAGTAGGGATCAGACTGGGGTTGGGAAGTCAGACTGGTGGTGTGAACTTTTAGATCAGGGCAGTAGCTAGGCTGTGCATGTGCACAGCATTAACTTATCCCCTCTCCCTAGAGCAAGGTAGAGTCCTCTGAGCTGGGCAGCCCCAAGACTACTGATGACATTGTATTGGAGAAGCCAGAAGAGGCTCGCACAAGGCGGCGGCACAAGACTGAGAGTGTCAAGCAGCACCTGAGCCAGGATCGGGCCGCAGCCACAGCTGAACTGGAACAGGCACAGAGGCAAGCACAGCCTGCAGGCTGGGCAGCTGGAGTGGTGGGGTGACGTTCCCCTCCATCTGGAGCTGGGCGGGGACCGTCACATTTCTGTGCCTCTGTTGACTGATCTGGTACAACTGTGCTTCCCTTTTCTCTTCCCAGGCGCCGAGCTTGCCAGTTGGAAGAAGGGGATGTAGGTACCATGCACCCACTCTTCAATCAAACCTGCCAGCAGTGGATGGCATTCATGAACCACTTGGGTATGTGTCTCAGGCCTCAGCTCCTCCAAATGGGCCAGGAGTGTGCCTTTCTACCCAGAGCTCCAAAGATAAGCCCTCATGTGGCACCAAGCTATCCAGCTTCATCCCTTGCTATCTCTAGTTAAGCACCTTGTCTCTCCTCATTGGTCTCAGGGCCAGCATTAGTATTACAAAGCTGTGGCAGCAGACCTGGCATGTGTCTGTGCATCTGAACAAACCTGTGGAGGCCTGTGGTTGCATCTGCTATGCTCTGAGCCCAGGGCTTGCTGGGCTTGGCTGCAGCTGCTTTGGAGAGACCTGGACTCCAACAGCAGCTGCAGTAATGATTAAGCTCCCAGATGCAGCCAGAAGGAGGATCTGAGCCTCTGCAACATGCTCTGGGGCTGTGAGGCTGAATGGGAGACCCCCACTCTTTCAGGAAGGCAGGGAAGGAGGAATGCCCTTTATATGGTGAGATTTGGGGCTCTGTGACTGCCCTGTTTCTGATTTCTGGATGCCTGCCAGTATTTGTACATCCTCTCACACCTCCTGCTGGCAAGATGGGGCTGTCCTCCTCCTCTGATAAGGAGTGAGCCAGGGAATGTGGAATAAGTGGGGGAATAAAGTGCTGTGCTTGGGTCTCACATGGGGTTTCAACCAGGTCCCACTTCAGCCCAGACCCTGAAACCAGGGGTTGCTTCTGCCTTTGTGTTCTCCTTCTCCTCATAAGGTCCTTTTTCTCCAGTTCTGCCTCAGTCCCTGGCAAGGCAGGAATTTGGCCTGCAACAGGACTCCCTTAGCCCTCTCTGCTGCCTAGGCAGGCAGGGCTTGGCGCTGGGGCTGCCGCTTGGCACCTTGTCCTACAGTACTTCTTCCACACAGGGTGCCCATCGGTGCAGCAGTGCTCGGCAGAGATTGTGTCTCGATTCCTCCTGCCCTCCATCCTGGTGGAAGTGGTGAACCTGGTCACTGCCCTGGCGAGCGACACCACCGTCAAGGTGTTTGAGCGGATCTGGTGAGTTCCCCAGCTCACAGGGGCCCTTTGGCACAGGCCGCTCGTCTGTACCCCCCGCTGTGCCC